TAAAACTCTTGCTGATGAATGTCCTTCTGCCATCCTCTGCTCTTTTTCCAACTTTTCAGGAGTTTTCAGATTGACCCCTTCCACTCCAGTTTACTAGAAGGGAAACAAAAGAACGCAATGAGATTGCCCTTAAAGAATTCATTTGAAGCCCACAAACATTCAACAACACCCTGTTAAAGGACTTTTTTATGAAACAATGCACAGGGGTTTCCCTTCCTGAATAGTTTTGTGATATTTGTGTGTGTTCTGCAAGTAGGCAATGAGCACTTCAGGGAGAGGATCTGCACTGCAGCAGCCTTGAGAGTTTCTATGCCATTTTTTTCTTCTAGGAATTGGCCTTTTTGACTGCATGATGGATTTTTTTTTTTAATGGTTACCCACCCATGATGCCTGCACGAAGTTTATTTTGTTGGGGGAACTTCAGCGTACTATAATCTCCTGTCTGGATATCTCTCAATTCCTGATACAGATTAGGTAGCTATAGATAAGTTACATAAACGCGGACCCACGCATGCGCTCTCTATTTCAAGTTATAAATTGCTGGGCAGGGTGAAGTCTTCACTCAGGTCCTCAAATAGATAGCAATACCTATAAGCCACAGTACTGTGTATAGTGAAGTTTTCACTCAGGTCCATCTGCCTTATAGCTATGCCTATCTCTTTTCATCTATAAGTGAGGACCTGAATGAAGAAGAAATTTCTATACTTATATAGACAAACGGCTATCCAGCCTCCTCTCAACATTCTCCACTGGTGGAGCACCCACAACTTCTGAACGCCAACCGATCCCCTGATTAATTGTTCTCATTGTCAGGATGTGGAGGTCTAATGATCCAAGGCATCTGGAGGGCACAGGGTTGGGGAAGTGGGTGTTCTCTTCCCCCCCCCCTCCATTAGAAATATCTAGTTTGGGCCATAATTTTGCCAAGGGCTCCCTCTAGTGGTTACATGTTAGGAGTACTAGTCAAGTTTTAATCCCAAAGGTGCTTTTTCAAAATGAAACTAAAAAACGTTTCACTTCTCATCGAAGAAGCTTCATCAGTTGTGACGGCGGGTGACGGAAGGATAGGTACTGACAGTTGAGACTGGACTCCTCAACTGCCAACATTTCCCTTTGAAAAAGACTTGGTGTCCTGACAGTGAGAACAACTAACCACTGGAACAGCTTGCCTCCAGAATTTGTGGGTGCTCCATCACTGGAGGTTTTCAAGAAGAGATTGAACAACCATTTGTCTGAAATGGTATAGATAGGATCTCCTGCTCGAGCAGGGGGTTGGACTAGAAGACCTCTGAGGTCCCTCCCAACTCTTATCATTCTGCTATTCTGCTTCCTTCCTGTGCAGAGAATGGAGAACATTTCTTGATCACCTTGTCTGAGAGCAAGGACACCAGACACTGTCCGTGACCATTTTCCCAAAGCTGAAGGGATCTGAAAGCCGATTCTTTCACCCAACTGAGAATAAAAAAGGCCGGCGGATTCTATGCCTAAAATGAAGTTTTTGTCCTGTCTGCTTTCCCATCATCCTCTCTTCTCAGGACAAAAAAGCCATCGCAATTCATCACTCCTGGGGATCCAAGTTATTCTACTCCTGATTAAATTAGTAAATGCAATCAGGATCTGAAGCGATTTAATTGAGAGAATTTATGGGAACCTGACAGTTTTATGCATGTTTGATGAAGTATTATAAGCCGGGTTTTTTTATTTTGCATAATTTAACTTTAAATTCTGCGCAGGAGGAGGGGCCCCCCCATCACCTATTCATGACCCAAATAAACTCCTTTAAGATGCATGTATCTATAATTTATTTCAAGCTCAGTGTCTGCCACAGGTTGGTACGGCGGTTCTCTCCCACCCCCGTTTTGTTCTATTGCCGAAGTGACAAATATGTTGAAAGTAATATTTGTTGCTCTTTGGCTTGCGCTATAAATCTTTGGCAATGTATGCATTTCATTTAAAGTTTTGAAAGAAGAAGTCACCGTTTATAGGGCTGCAAGGGTCAAATAAATCCACACAGACCATCTAAAGCGCAATATTCTCTGCCGATTGCCAGTAAAACCCCATCAACATAAACCTTGTTCAATCAACAGGAAGAGGAGCTCCATCATTAGTGAAATTAGCACCATGCTGGGGCAAAAGACTTAATGCATCTCACTTTTCCTGCAGCTGAATTTATAACTAAAGGATGATGAAAGATGCCAAGATGGCATTTGATCTTCTTTCATTTTATCCTTAATCTCCTGGAATTGTCTAGAAAAATTCCTCTGATGCAGCTTTTCCGCTCTGGTGACTTCTAGATCTATCGGTCAGTTGCACTTTGACACATCAAACTGTTAGAGGCCCCTGAAGTGGGAAGGGCTCTAAAATAAGTAGTCCTTGACCTACGACGACTGGGGCCAGAACTTCCGTTGCTAACCAAGACGGTTGTTAAGGGAGCTGCGTCCAATTTTATGACCTTTTTTTTGCCACAGCTGTTAAGTGAATCACTGCAGTTGTTAAGTGAATCCGGCTTCTCCCCTTGACTTTTCCTGTCGGAAACCACCTGGCTGTCTTGGACTGCAGTTCCCATCATCCACTGGCCCACCAAAGATGCGCCTATTCCTTTTAGGCTCCGTGGGGACGTTTGGTTCAAATTGGCATCACCACCAGCCTTTTCCTAGAAGACCCCAAAATGAGGAGGAAGCCCCCCCCCAAAGAAACTAGACTCCCGCCCCCATCATTCTTCACTAACTGCTGGATAATGGGAGGGGGAGTCCAGCACTTCTGCAGAAAACCAGGCTAAGGCTGGGTCACGGGTTGCCTTCCAAGGTGCAACACTCCCATTCCCATCATCCCCAACCAGCAGGGCCCATGCTGGTGGATGATGGGAGGGGGAATCCTGCCCAGCTCCCGCTGTCCCCGATCAGAGGGTCCACGCAGGTGGACGATGGGAACTGGAGTCCATAGAGAGCAGACGGGACGAAGCACGGGAAAACCCCCCCCGTTGCTAGGCGACGGCTTCCCGGCGCGCTCTTCTCCTGGGGAGGCGGCGCCTGCTGATGACGCCATCGCCGCGCGCGGGTCGTTCCGCCGCCGGCCCGAAAGGAGGCGAGTCGCCGCCGTCGCCGCTGCCCGAGCCCGGCCGCTTCCGCCGCCTCCTCCGCCGCCGCCATGGCCCGCCGCCGCCGCCGCCGCCCGGTGAGTCCTCCGCCGCCCCGGGGCCCCTTTCCCCAGCGCCGGCCCGCCCAACAGCCCCGCGAGGTAGGCCGGGCCTCTTGGACTGCAGGCCTCATCCTCCCCTGCCGTGAGGGGGAAAGCCGGCAGGGCCCAGTCCGGGCTGAGAGGTTCAGGCTGGCTGCGGAGGGAGCCCCGGCGCTTTCCCGGGGGACGGGGGGGCCTGCACGGGGCAGACCTCCCGGCTGGAGCTGAGTTCGAATCTTGGCAGCCCCCCCCCCTCCGCTCGCCGGTCCCTGAGGGCGAGCCGCTTCGTGACGGGACTCTTAAGGTCGGTAAGCCATGATGGTTGGAGCCCTTTGGCCTCTCCAGGTTGAGGCGCCCGGCTAGAAACTGGGAGACGGGAGTCCCAGTCCTGGCTCTGGCACGGAAGACAACTGGGGGGCTTTGGGCCGACCCTTTCTCTTAGCCCAGGCAGCTCTGCGGGGTTGCTGTTGTGGGGAAAATAGGAGGAGGAAGGAGGAGGGCATATTATGTACACGTTCACTGCCTTGGGTGGTTTATAAAAATAATAAAACCAGGGTATAAGCTAAAAATTACGAGACTGTATCTAAGCCACGACTTGACCAACATCGAGCTGTTAGGCTGTTATTCAGAGGCAAAAAGCGGGAACTGTTTTGGGAAATACATAAGGGGCGAAGTGACCTTGGGAGACGGGAGGAAGAGGCGGTCAGAGAACGACCAGGCCAGAGTGTCGTCTTAGCCCAGCACGGGAACAAGAAGTGGAGCCTCGGAAGCCTCCCTGGAGGTTTTTAAGGAGAGGCCGGACAGTCACTTGTCTGGAATGATGTAAGTTCTTCTGCTCGAGCAGGGGCTGGACTAGAAGACCTCCAAGGTCCCTTCCAGCTCTATTCTATTCTCTTCCCTGGTTTTTGGGAAGGCAGAAGGAGAGGAGAGGAGAAGGACTTTCACCCTTGCAAGTTCCTTTAAAGTAAAGGTAGTGTTAGCACTCACAGTTGGTGAGTTTCATGCGGGGACTACCTCACAGGGCTGACAGTGGGCAGGTGCAGAACCTGCTAGAAAGGAAGGGGCCGCCCTCCCCGCCACCTTCACTCCCCTCTCCTCCGTCCGATTGCCCACGTCTTTTTCTGCGCCTTCGTTCCCTCCTGCCCAGCTGCCTGGAAGACACAGTTCATCGACGTTCGGTTATTTTCTTCTCCCGAACCTTTGCTGGTCCCTTGGAACTCCCCACCTCAACAGGTGGTGACTTGGTCTGAGATGCTGAACGAGTGAGTGCCTTACTTGTACTTCCGTCTTTCTTTTCCTGACTCTAACCTCTCCTCTTAATTTATTTCCCTCCAGCCAGTCCCTGCGGCCCTTTGCTCTTGACCGGTGGTCTCCAAACTCTGGCAGCTTTAAGCATGACTGGCTGAGGAATTCTGGGAGTTGAAGTCCCAGTCTTAAAGTTGCCAAGGCTGAAGACCCCTGCTCTAGACTGTGAGCAAATGCATCGCTTGCAACAGGGACATATTTTAACCCCTTGCAGCCATCGTGGCCTTCCAGGTCCCAATAATTAACCCAGGTTGATTTCCTCGTGGATCCAGTGCCTGGCAGCCACCCAGGGAGTAGCAGGCTCACGTCTTCACTTCAGGGCCACCTGGCCTTCTCTCCCTTTCCTTCAACCCAGCTCTCCTTCTCTTCCTTCCTGCAGGCAGCTTCCGTCTTGGCACGTCCAGGCCGTGTTCACCCTCCTGGCTCGCTGGCCTCCCCTCCCATCTTCTTCGCGGAAGCGGTCGGGGCCACCCCCGGCCAGCCTGGCTCTCCAGTCCTGTAAAAACTTGGCTTGCCTGATGCCTGTCATCCCTATCCCACGGCGGGTTCGCTCTTTCCACGGGCCCCACACGACCTGCCTGCATTCGGCCTGCGGGCCAGTCCGGACCACCCCCTTGGTGCGCACCAAGTACAACAACTTTGACATCTACCTGAAGTCCCGCTGGATGTACGGGGTGATCCGCTTCCTGCTGTACTTCAGCTGCAGCCTGTTTACCTCCGTCCTCTGGGTGGCGCTGGCGGCCTTGTTTTGCCTCCAGTACCTCAGCATCCGGTTCTTTCTCCGCTTCCAATACAAACTCTCTATTGTCCTGCTGCTGATGGGAAGGCGGCGGGTGGACTTTAGCCTGGTCAACGAATTGCTCATCTACGCCATTCACGTCACCATGCTGCTGGTGGGTGGGCTGGGCTGGTGCTTCATGGTGTTTGTCGATATGTAAATAAAGGTGGGGGAGAGCCAGAGGCAGGCTGACCCTTGGCCTGGGGGGTCAGGTCCATCTCTGATCCTCCACTCTCCTCCTGTAACCTCTCTCTCTCTCTCTGTGTGTCTCTCCTCCGTCACTCTGGGTCAGCTTGCTTAGGACAAAGGCAGGTTAGAGAGAAAGCAGACTGACTCTTCTGATCACCTTGCAAAAGTCAGGGAAGGATGACGCTGCTCTGGAAGATTGATTGGCACCAAATGTTGCAGTTTCTCCTCTCTTCCCCCCCCCCCCCAACTGCCTCATCTTCATGGGCCCTGCATTTGTTTCCTTCTGGTTTTGAGTGTTCGGAAATCTTCTCTTGAGTTCTTGTTGGGTCGATCATCTTTGTTCATTTATATCTGGGATATTTTTGTTCATCGAATGTGTTTCTAGAAACCTCTCTCCTTCTCACCACATCCCTTCCTTCTCCCCCCCCCCAAAAAAAAGCCTAGTAATAATGTTAACTTGTTCTTCAGTTGCCTTGTTTCATTTCGCAGTTGCTGGCAAGCAGCATCCAAGTTTACCATTCAAAGGAGACGTGGGCGCTGCTGCCAGGCTTGTGTGTGTCCGTGTCTTGTACAGTAGGGCTTGTGCTGCCTTTATGTCCCCCTTGTGCACTTCAGGCTGAAGACTGTGGGCTGATTCCCCCCCCCAGTCAGTAATAAGAATAAGGAGTAAAAAAAATGGATAAACAGGGGTTTTCAGCTGTTTTTGTCTTAGTCTGTCTGTCTTCCCATTCACACAATGCACAGACTTTTGAAAGTTGCAATTGTTTATGTGTTCAAACTGAAGGATGCTGGAACCGGTGTAATATGGGAGAGAAATGATCGGGCTGTGAGTTAGAATGTGCCAGGTTCAGATCTTATTTTTGCCCAGAATTTAATAGCTGGATTTACACGCAACTCACTTATCCTTCAGCCTGGGTTAATAAAGCAGGGTGGTTGGGAACCGTATTGCGTCTTAACAACTTTCTGAAGCCACAACTGAGGTCCCACACCAGGCTGAAGTACAGATGAGAACCTTTTGAGCCTAACCAAGGGCCCTGAGCAAAAACTGCCTTCGGGGGGGGGGGGGGACTTTGGTAATCTACCATTCCTCGCTTTCAGCCCATCCGCAGAATCCCTCCGATTGTGGCCTGGGGGTCAAAATAAGGACAATGCATGTATGGGTTGCCCCTGGGGCATCCCAGTAGGCCTTCTTTGGCATCCATGTTGTGGCAGGAAATCATTTTGCATATGCATGTCCAGTCTGGGACTTCAACTTCACCTCCCAGAGGTGAAGCTAGGAAATATGAATATATGTGTGTATGTGCTCCCTTTTTACGACCCTGGAATCCCTTAATTCGGGGTAGAGTCAGGTCGACTGGATGGAGCTGAGCGTTTGCTGGCTGGATGCCCTTCCTGACGCCTACGTGGAGTTCACAGCAGATATTTGTTCTTTGCGACCAGAGACAGAAAATCTGCCATTACCTAGGATTGAACTGCCAACCTTCCCAGTGGTAGGTGAGCCTCTTCACATTAGACCACCATGTGGTGCATCTCTATCTATCTATCTATCTATCTATCTATCTATCTATCTATCTATCTATCTATCTATCTATCTATCTATCTATCTATCTATCTATCTATCTATCTATCATCTATCTATCATCTATCTATCTATCTACCTACCTACCTATTTATCTATCTTCCCTCTCTCTCATCTATCTATGCACACAAACGTCCAGAATTCCCCAGCCAGTAGGTGTGGATTTTAATTTCCAGAATTCCCCAGCCAGCCTGTGTGGACTTCAATTCTCATTGATGGTCAAGCTGGCCAGGGAATCCTGGGAGTGGAAGTTCTCCCTCTTGGACATTCTCAAGACTGGGAAACTTTGCCCTAAAAGGAACAGAGGGAGAGACTTGCTGGGATCTGACTTATCATGCAATCTTCTCTCAAATCTTCCCTCCCCCCCCCACTCCTTGGAGGAGAGGGTGATCCAATGCAGTGTCCTGTATCTGCATTGCCCTTGCAGGGCTCTCCTCACTCCCTCTCCCGAATTCAGCCCTCTGGCTGAGCTCACCTGCCCAGGAAGAACTCCTGCTAGCTTAATGTGGCCGGCGTAATGCTGGGTTCGGCCCGGCTGCACTGGAAGCGCCGCACAGCAGCTCCAGGCAGAGGTGGGCCTGGAGGGCGGCATCAGCCTCTGCCTGCCAAGCCGTGACATTGAGCCTCCCAGGTCTGCGTAACACAGCAGCGGCAGCCGCCTTGCCGCTATGCAGCAGCCCCGTTTCTGCTGGGTGCAATCGCAGGCTTTGGCTGGTGTGCAGAATAAACACATCCCGCTGCGAACCAGGCTCCTTGTTCCCACCAGGGGACGCGTGTGTGGGGGGGAACCTTGAGGCTGCCCTCCTCCCGTCTTGTTCTTGAAAGTAATTGGGGGTCCGGAGGGGAGGCAGAGCGTTTGGCAGTTTGGCTGGCTTTCCATTTCCAAAATCAATAGCCAGGCGTTCTCTTCCACATGTGTTGTGGGCCGGTGCAGCAAATTTGGGACGATGCAGATCAGGGATCTGCCGGCACTTAAGGCCGGGGGGGGGGGTGTGAGGACATTTGGAATTGGAGGGGGAAGAGGCTGGCAGCCCTTGCAGGCGAGGGGCAGAAAATGGCACCGGATAGGAGTGGGTCCTTCCCTTGGATTCCAGCCGACTGCGGCCACAGCAGAGTTTTCTTTCCTCCCTGCTCCCCCTCCCCTCCCCTCCTGTGCTCAGCCTGCACCATAATTCATGTTAATGCTGATGGCCACAGTGCAGTGATATCCAAGAAGCTTTGAGAATAAGGAAGGGGGGGGGAGAGATTGCCGTGTCTCCTTTTTTCTGCACGCCTCTGACACCGGATCGGCAAAACTGCCTGAGGTGCAGTCCTCCTCTGCTGCAAAAGTGCACCTCCCCACCCATTCCCCCCCCTTTAATTTCTTTCTTTTTTTTCTGAGCAGAGTCCAGTTCCTCCTTAATCACCGAGAAAGCCAGCAAGAGGATGACTTGGAAGGCTCTCGCTGGTGCAGGAGGCAGTGTTCTCCTTCCCATCTCCCTGTGGCTTTCTTTGGGGAGGGGGGGGAACTGATCCATGCAGCCCCAGGCACGGACCTTTGCTGCTGTTTGCTGAGGGGGCAGGACCCGGGGGCCCCGCCTGGCAGGCGCTGGGCCGAGTCCTGCTGTTTGGGTGACCTTGGTGATCGCCCGTCCCTGGGGCACGTGGTCTGTGGGACCAAGGAGGGAGCTGGCACCGGTTCTCCACGGCCTGTTTGTTCAGCGTTTGTTGCATCTTGTGGCCAAGGAGGCTGGAGAGGGTTGTTTAGCTGCCTGGAGCAGGGCCAGAGGCTGGGGGGGGGGAGGCGGGGGGATGCAGCTCTCTGAGGCTCTTTGTTCCTGTCCCAGTTTACGGCCCCCGTTCCTGGAAGCTGGACTCCGAGCGAGGCTGGACGCTCAGGCCATTATCTCCTGCAGACACTGGGCAGGTGATGGGGTTTTGTTATCAGTCTGGACACCGAATCATCCCTCTCCCCCCCCCCTCCAGCCTCCAGCCCTGCAGGCCTATAATTTTCCACTCTCTTCTGCCTTGCACTTTTTAAATACATGTTTATCTGGACGTTTGGTTGCCAGGCGAAGCCGAGGCGGCGGTAAAACCTTGTGCTCTTTTCATTCCGGCTGCGCCGAGTTAATGATGCCCATTTTGTTTCCTTGGCGTTTTATCTCCTTCCTG